TACAAACATCCTGCTAGGTTACAATGTAAAAAAGCTCACTTCCAATACTCCTTATCTGGACAGTGCAGCTTTCAAAGGCATCTGTAACTCCTGGACCTAGAGACATGAGGTAGCATAAATAACTCCAACTTCATTGCTCCAAGGTAAAATGAGGAGATTAATGGTGTTTTTTTTTTCCTTTAAAGAAACTGGTTCACTACTTTTGAAGGAAAGAAAATTGAAACTTTTCTCCAAAATTAAATAGAAATAATAGCTCCCCCAGCATATGAATTAGGTTGGAAGATAATTGTGTGTCATTTCAAAATGAACTGTGTTAGTCAGGTAAATGAAGTTTGCAAATTATTTCTCTTTTTTGCATGAAGTATTTATTTACCACAGAAAAGCTGGTCAGACTCGTAAGGGATTTCTAAGACAAGAGGTCTCATTGTCAAAGGTTTAGTAGCGATTAACATGTGTATGACAGTAATTCCTAGATACCCCTATTAAAATTGAGGCCATAACTTGGCAAACCCTGTCTAGGAGTATAGTGGGAGATAGTTCATGACACAGAGACCTTTCAGTTTAAATCTCCTTTGCAACAAATAGCAGGACCAGGGGCTAAAAAGTAAAACAGACAACTAGGGGAGAGGAACAAGACACAGAGAGAAGGAAATGACTTTTCCACGGTCACGTAGCAGGTCAGTATCAGACCCCTACTCTAGTGTCTACCCTGTGTTGCCTTTCACAATGAGTTGACCACCTGAGCCATCCCAAGGGGTTGGAGAAACAGTATAATTGTGTTAATGCCATTCCACGCTTGCTACTTCACCATGCTGCAAAGATGGAGGAGCTCCTTTAGAGCTAGGATTGGTATTATTATATGGGACTACATTGTGCCATGTTTTTCTACAGAATAAAATCCTCCCGTCTTCATCTAGCCATGTTCTGCTTGCAAGTAGAAATGTGTAGTGGACTCAGTCTATTTTTGTCATGTCAATGGCTTGCTGGGTGACTTGGGGCGCATCATTTTACTGCCTTGTGTGTCAGTTCCCCGGCTTCAAAACGGGGTGACCTCCATTTATAACGTACTTGAGATTTTTGGATAAAAAGTGTTCTGTAAATGCTAGGTGTTAATATTATTAATGAGAGAGGATTATGTACCCTTTGGGAGATCAGTGAAAACATAAGACTGTTATCTTCTTTTCCCCGCCAAAATAAAGAGAAACAATTCAGATCAGATCAACAAATATTGTACTTCATTATATAATCAGGCAACTTCATGCACATACAAAATACATCAAATCCATAATGAAAACAACAGACAATGCCCCCATATATACACAAAGAAGCATTTTAAATAACGTTGCCTGCAATATAAGAACCTCTGTGCTTACCTGACTCAAATACATGATTGGTATTCTTGCTCTTCTTTCTCAGGCACCCTATTCAATTTTAAGCAAGATTTCATACTTTCATAAGTCACTGGTAATGATGAAGGCTTAAAGATCCTCAAACTTGCCCCTGCAAACTAAAAACTTCTGAAACAGGAATTCTATATAGGAACCACCTCATTTCCATCTATAATCTGGGAAAATTATACATGCAACTGTGTTATTTCCCTCAGGCTGAGGCTCTGTTAAAGTCGTCTCTAAATGATAGGACATTAGTCCTTAGCACAGGACTATTTGACAACATATTCATTACTAGAAGAAATAAAGATTCAACCAGCATTATTCTTGATTATCAGTAGATGCTACAGTTCCTCATTAGTGGAGCAAACAATACATTCTACAACTTTTCAGTTCAGACCTAGACCAGAGGAGATCTGGTATGGCTGCCCAGTTTGTGTTGTTATGGGTCCCAGAGAATTTGAGAGAGTCCTGGGGGCTGTCAGTGGCCAGCAATGTAAATAAGAAACCCTCTTCTAATACTGTAACACAAATCTCTTTCTTTTCTGCTGTGAAAGCCACTATACTCTCCCCAACAACCCCAGCCCCTCTGGATATTATTCTTCCCTTTAAGGATCTCAGTGATGTTATGTTTGGTGACTTCTGATGGCAGGGATAATTTGTTTCCTACTAACCCCTGAGATCTCATCTATTATTCTTCATTTCTCTAGATCAAGGGTGTCAAAAATATGGCCTGTGGAGCCCCATCGTCCAGCCCATGGTGCTGCCCCTGGGTCCAGAGTTGATGTGCAGTGGAGTGGCCCCATGCGTAGGACTCAGGACATGTGCTGCACACAGCACATGCTTTAGCCCGCCCAGGACTCATGCTTCACATGGCATCCAGCTTGGCCAGTTCAGGACCTGTGCTGCACGTGGCATCTGCTCCGGCCAGTCTGAGAACCATGCCACATATAGCACCTATCTCAGCTTGTCTGGCGTGTGTGCAGCACATGACGCCTCGCTCAGATGGCCCAAGACACATGCTACATGCACACATGCTCCAGCTGGTCTGAGACGCTTGCTGCCCACAGCACCCACCCTGCCCAATCCAGGGTGGCTCCTGCATGCAGCCCAGATCCCAGACTAGCCAGAGCAGGCGTGGCACACATGTCCTGGACCAGTCCTGCATAGGTGTCACATGAAGCAGTCTTGGTCCAGCCAAAACAGGTGCTGTGTGATCTGGACCAGTCAGGGTAGACATTACATGGGCTGGACTGGGCACAGGGGCAGGGGTGGAGGGGCATGGTGAGGGTGGTCTGGTGATCTGGCCCACAGGCCTGGCCCTTTGCCATTCATGTAGCCCATTGACTGGCCTTTGGGGCTACATGAGTTTGACACCACTGCTCTAGACATTAAGAGTGAAGGTTGGTTCACCATCATGTTAAAATTGCTTGAGATCATATGCAGAACCCCCTCAGAAGACTCCAGTGATGTTGCAAGCACGTGCTACTTGGGGGAATCTAAGAACGCACGATGCCAGTCTGATTTTGCTTACCTCATTGTTTAAATAGAATTAGCAGACAAAAATACCTGCAAGCACATACGTTATCTTCCCTTATGCCCTATAGCTCAATGCTAGGATGTTTTGTGTAGCCGGAGAATAGATATGTCCTAACTGGAACTAAGCTTCTTTAAATCCAAACTAGCACTGACGGCCAAATTTATCTAGGGATTCCTGAATTGGGCACTTGCACCAGATGGAAAAATCCACAACGAAGTGAGTTACAAGATGCATCTTATTCCCCACAGGGGCTGCTCATGCTTTTTCCATAATGCTGGCAGCTTCTGTGGGTTAAGGGAGCACAAGCCAGAGCTCTGACCTCTTGCATTGTGTTGCCATTGGACCAGTGAGACAGACACTCGAGCTATACGCAATGCAGATAAGCGTGTCACCTACTTAAAATAACTAGAAGCTAGAGAGGTTTATCTGTCTCTTTAAATGACATAAGATGATATCCTCCTTTCCCTTCTGCTTCTGTTTGTTGGCAGGTTGCACAGAGTATCTTTCTGAACAGTGGATACCTCCTGCTCTCAGAAAATGATGCTTTTGAAGAGATAAGATCCTAGCCGAGCTCACTCTGCAGCTGGCATTAGACTGATCCCAGGAGCAGGTACCTTCTCTCAGGCATACTGTTTTGTTCATTCCACATACAGAATGATTTAAAGACACTGGAGTGGACAGTAATGGCCTCCAGTGGATTGCTAGGTTAATAACAAATCTATACTACTTAGAACACTAATTCCTATTAATCCCAGACTGTTTCCCGCTTAGAAGTCAGCACTGGACATGAACCATTTTTCCTGCTTGGAACATCGCAGAAGAATATACAACAAAAATGGAGACATGCCAGCAAACTGAAGTGGGTCCAGCTATTCATCAGTGCTGGGTAAGATTTTGATTGGATCAGTGGGTCTATCTGGTATGGCAACACAATGGTTTAGTCAATAATCATTAGCTCATTACAGCCCATCTCAGCACATGGGATAGCACCTCGCAGAAATCATTCTCAGCTTGACTATTCCAGCAATATCATTTGTGAATCCTGTTTTTTTTTTTAAAAGACACCTATAGGTTTAGCTTATCTTTTTATCCCAACTTCTCAAGTGACTCATGCTTCAGGGTACTTTATATATTCAAGAAAAATATGGGAATTACACTTAAAACTTTGTACAACTTTTTTAATGCTACTCAGATGCCCGAGTTCTTTCAAACTTTCTTCCCATAGTTTTCCCAGTATTCACAAGTGCAGCTATGAGTTTCTTCTCAGCAATAGCCATGCTGAGAGGAGATCACCTATCAGGCAAAGAATTCCTTGAATAAGACCAAGAAACTAGGGAAATACTATAGAAATGTTATATAAGCACACTGCTTGTGATATTTGTACCTACCATTCTGTTTTATGAGTGCCTGCTACACCAAAACACATGACGCTTTCTGCCTTAAAGTATTCATTATTTCTTTGAATGCTGTCTTTCCAATACAAGTAGCTTACATCTCTGCCTTCTAAACGCTTGTGATTTCAGCACATGCAGAATTTATTTACATGCTGAAAATACACGTATTGTTTATTGGGAGGAGGTAGGTATGCTTCAGTACATACATTCCTAGAGAAAATATACAACATGACAAGGAAATAACTTCTTTTATCAGAGCAGGGCAGTCCTGTAAACCTGCCAGTTATTGAGCCACTTGTCCAGCATTTTGACTGACTTATACTCTGGCTAAACCATTATCCTTCCAGTTCTTACAGAGTTACACTGAAGAATGTCATTCCATTTGTGGTCTGTGCATGCATTTGACATACACTGAGTTACATGGCAATACTACTTAGCTGTGATAGGAGTATACTGTGCTTTGTAAATGACTGATAAAGACAAGTATCAATGAGAAAAAAAAGGGAAGGTCCCTTCAGCCTCTTTAGAAATAGCAGTACACCACACTATGAAAATCTTTATCTTTTGAATTGAAGCAGGTCACAGGGGAAAACTAAGGTGTGCTGCTTTTAGAAGCAATCAGAAATTTGTGAAAATGTAAGAAACAAAATATCACATTTTTTTTCTTTTGCTTGTCAATGTGCAGCTATTTGAGTTGATTTCAATATCCCCATAATATGCAACAATATACAGCATAAACATAGTCTGTATGGGAAACTCATTAAAGCACTCAAAAATATGAAGTTGTCCTTAAAAGGAAAACTCTGTATGCAATGACCTATTTAGAAACAGCTACTTAAGCAGATTTTTTTTAAATGCTTCTGAACAGTCATCATGAATGTAAGCTGTAACTTACCATAATACTCTTCTGTTTTCAGTCCTATTATTTCTTTTATATATAAACCTGTTTCAGTTACCCAAAACCAAGATTTATTTCCCCTTATCCCTTAGGTCCAAATAAAAATTCTCCAACAAACAGTGAATAGATTTTGTCCATCAAGAGTCAGCAGTGTTCCTGGGGAGGCGGTAATGGTCTGACCTGCGTGTTTTCTTCTCCTGGGGGTTGGCATACTTCCACTTGGATGGGGACATTTTTAGCTTTTTTCTCTTCTTATCCGTGCACCACACCTTTTCACAATACTCCTCAACCCTCTGGAAGTTGCTGTAGCCTATTAGCTGCAGAAACTCTTTGTACCACGGCTTTGATGCTTGAGGGATGCTGCTGTGCACTGGGCATGGCATTTTATGAGTGACATCCTCCTCATAGTCTTTGTTGAACATCTCATCTACACGTTCTTCCTCCACCACCTCGAGGGTGATTTTTCTGATCGTATGAACAATGCTGTGTTCCACTGTCTGACAGAAATATGTTCCCGCATCCATCCTATACAGTTTTAGAAACAAGAGGCCAAGGTCCATTTTGACTATTCTGTCATCTGTCTTTACCTGAGAAATGAACAAATAGTGCTCTGTTTTATTAATGCAGTTGCGGTGCAAATACAAAAATGCAACAGTGCACTAAAAAGACCAGAGAAACACCATTCATCAAATGCATCCTAGAGACCTAGCCACAAATGGAGAGGTGTGTGAGTGCTCTAATTTAGTCTGTGAGCAACTACAAGATTTCACTTAGAGGAGCAGATTGACTCTTGAGAGGAAGGAAGGTTCAGGGCATAGGTTGCAAGTCTAGGACTTGAGAGCCCTGCCCTCTGCCAGGGATTTCCTGTGTGAGCATAAGCAAGTGGCTCAGGGCTAAATCACAAAAAAGGTAGGTGTTTCAGTACAGTCTTTTAAGCTGCCTGCTTCCTAATGGCATGCTCAGCCCCAAGTTAAATACCCATATTGCCATGCAGGTCCCCTTGCACCGATTCGGAGAAGCCAGGGGCTGATCTGGGGTATATATGAAAGGGGCGCAGTGGTATCATTGCATGGCCCTTCAGTTATTCCATAAATGCTATGAGCTCTGAGGTCACCAGCAGATCAGCCCAGGCTCTGGCTGGAGCTATGTTTTCATGCAGCTCTAAGGCCCAGGAGGTACGCACCACTGCCACCACTTGTCCCCTCTTCTCTCCTGCTTCTGAATTCAGTGGCAGAGGGGAGGAAGGGAGGTCGAATGGCAGTGGTGCTCACCACCGGGCTCTAGACCTGTGTGAAAGCAGGGGCTCTGGCCACAGCCTGTGCCAATCAGCTGGTAAGTTCAGAGCCCATGGCAGCAGGACATGGCAGGACATAGGCTGATATGCCAGGAAGCTCAGAGAGTTCATTTTACATGTGCCACTCAGCTGAAGGTGTGTGGCTGTGCCCTCTCACACCAATCCTGGACCCACCTCTGACAGAAGCCAACAAGCGAGGCAGGGGACTAGATGACCCAGATGCCTGGTGGATAGGACACTCTCCAAGCATGTGGGAGATCTTGTGGTCAGGTTCCTGCTTTCAACCAGGAAGAGTAGTAATTTGAAAGCAGATCTCCTTGCCTCCCGGGTAAGTTCTGTCAGATGAGTTGCCTAACATATATACCTCCATACTGTTTCCCCCAACCCTTCTCAAAATATTCTTATACCTTTCTGGCTTTTGCATGAGGCCCAATCCAATACAGTGTTCTCTGAAAATGTCTATTAAATTAGGACTCCACAGGTAAAATGGGTGCAGAATCCTGGTAGGGCTTAGGCATTACCTGCGATCTGAGGAGTTCAGCAATGTCAGGATTTGAGCATGCACATTTGTTCTTAAGGTTTTAAGGTACCTACACAGTAGGTGACAACTGTGTTAAGGGTTCAACAACTTCAATAGAGACTAAAGTGCCAGCTTTAGACACCAACAATGTAGTTAGGCCTGCATCTGTAAAATGGAGACAATAATACTGCCCTATATCATAGGGATGCTGTCAGGATAAATATACTCAGGATGATAGGGCATTTATGCTAATGGGGACACTATGAGCACATCAGATAGACAGATAACTTGATCACAGTCTCTGGGTATATACAAAGGAAAAAGATATCCTAGATGAAAGGTCGCTTTAATGTAATAGACAAATAACAAAAAACAATAGATCAAAGTTGAATTTAGACCAATTCAAACTGGAAATAAGGTGGACATTTTTAAACAGGGAAAAAAGCTTCCAATTGGAACAGACTCTGCATCACACTGGGTACATCTACATGAGACAGTTAAGGCAAAGAAGACTATTTCTAGTACACATTAGCACAGTGGGCAAAACCAATACTAATGTGCATTAGTCTAATGCTCAATAACATCACTAAAAAAGCGTTCATCTACATTAATGCGCAGTAGTGCTGATTATGGCACATTAAGTTAGTAACCATCATTACAGGTACTAAACTTCATGTGCTGTAATTATGGCACATTAATGAACATGCAGATATGCCTACTGAGGTTGTAAATCAAGATTGGCTGCATTTTTAAAAGCATACGCAAGTTCAGCTATGAACTATTCGGCTTCAAGCAGGAATCACTGGGTGAAATTTTCTGTCCTGTTTATCTAATCTGATTCTGCGCATAATTAAAATGGTTCAAAAATATATGAATGTATGTACATGACACCTGCTGACACCACCTATTTTGCAGAAGGTTTTTGTTTGTTTGTTTTTTTAACCTACAATTTCCCTAACACAACAAACTGATTTAGTAAAAATGATGAAACTTGAACTACATGGAAAGTTACCTCTTCTTTTCTGGAGTCATGGGCTCGCTGTACAAACCAGATCACCTTTGCTTGTAATGTCCTAGGGGTACATTCCAGAAGTGTGCTATTATACTCTATTCCATAGACCAGTCGCTCTTCAGTCTTCTCCAGAGCTTCTCCTATGCAGAAAAATAAGATTTTGTTATCTACCAGTCCCACTCATGGGGCAAGGTGGACACACTTGAAGGGAGAGAGAGGCTGCAACTAGATTTAGACAGACTACAAAAGTGGGCAGATGAGAATAGGATGGGATTCAACGTAGACAAATGCAGGGTGCTGCACCTTGGGAGAAGGAATCCACAGCATACATACAGGCTGGGGAGTTCCCTTCTTGAAAGCACAGAGGGAGAAAGGGATCTTGGAGTCATTCTTGACTCCAAGATGAACATGAGCCGCCAATGCCAGACCGCAGCCAGCAAGGTCAGCCATACCTTGTCATGCATCCAAAGGTGCATCTCAAGCTGGTCCAGAGAGGTGATGCCCCCACCCCTCTCTATGCGACTTTGGTCAGGCCACAGTTGGAGTACTGCGTCCAGTACTGGGCGCCGCACTTCAAAAGGGATGTGGCCAGCCTGGAGAGGGTTCAGAGGAGGGCCACCCGCTTGGTGAGAGGGCAGCAGGACAGGCCCTACGAGGAGAGACTGAGGGACCTGAACCTGTTCAGCCTCAGCAAGAGGAGGCTGAGGGGGGACCTGGTGGCTGCCTACAAGCTCATCAGGGGAGATCATCAGCAAATAGGCAGAGCCCTTTTCTCCCCAGCACCACCTGGGGTGACAAGGAACAATGGTAATAAGCTGACGGAGAATAGGTTTAGGTTGGAGATCAGAAGGCAATATTTTACAGTTAGGGTGGCCAAAATCTGGAACCAACTTCCCTGGGAGGTGGTCCTCGCCCCTACCTTGGACAAATTCAAGAGGGTGGACGAACACCTGTCTGGGGTCTTGTGAACCCAGGATTCATTCCTGCCTGTGGCAGGGGGTCAGGCTAGATGATCTGTTCAGGTCCCTCCTGACCTTAGCTACTATGAAACTATGATAAATGTTGTCACCCTCATTTAGGGCATCTTTTTATTGGACTTTTCAAGGATTCCTTTGACATCCATCACTAAAATGAAATTTGGCTCATATCTCTCCATCTAGAGACTAGAATTTAATGCTCAGTAAAGACCATATTCCATGAAGCCTGGAGCACCTTCAGTAATTATTGTCTCCAATGGGATGTAAGAGCAAGCTTCACCTCAGCCCTAAGACTGAGCACTAAGATAATACATCCTATCAACATAATACATAACTAGCAGTTGACGTTTACACATGTATAACAGGGCTCAGTCCCAGGTACTAAGCATTCTGCCCTCAATCCACAAACGATTTGTGCATGTGCTTAATTTTAAGTCTATGAAGCCAATGGGACACCTGCAGACTTAAATGTAATCATGGAAAAACTACCCAGCTGGATCAGGATCAAAGTGCTCAGTTCTTTACAGGATCAGAGGCTGAAAGGCTTATGGATATCTGAACTTTTTATTTAATGTCCAGAATGTGTACATCTATAGATTACCATAACATGGGCCCAGTGTGTGTGTGAATATATATATATATATATATATATAGTAGCACCCAGATACTACAAATGATGCACTTGAAAATAACTAGTTGACACATTCTTGGCCTCCCACATATAGCAAAACTTAGAAAACACAAAGAAGGAACACCTAGAATAATGTTTCTACACTAGAACAGACCAGTGGACTCTATAAAGCCTTAATAAGAATATTTGTTTTACAATAGGTGGATTGAAGAAGAGGTGGATGCTTGATACCAGCCTACAATCAGGTTCTGGCCCAGAAACATGGGACTTGAAACTCATCATGATCTCTCTCACTTATATCTGTAAGTGTTAGGTTCCAAATGTAGTTTGCAGCCACATCTACAGTGTCACTGTGTGTAAATTTTCAGTGGTGTCAAAAGGGTCCATAAATCCCCTGCATGTTTTCCATGGGAAAATTATCCAAGGAACTCAGTGGGGGGCCCTGCTGAGAACAGGTGTTATGATCTGTTTCTCTGTTACTGAGCAAATTTAACAAGTTCATAGATTAATAGATTTTAAGGTCAGAAGGGACTGCAGAAGATCATCGGGTCCAGCCCCCTGCACCAAGCAGGAAAGATAACTAGGGGTCAGGTGACCCCAGCAAGGTGACCGTCCAGTCTCCTCTTGAAGATTTCCAGGGTAGGTGATTGCACCACCTCTGGAGGGAGCTTATTCCACAGTGTGGACACCCTGACTGTGAAGAAATTTTCCCTAATGCTGAGCCTGAATCTGTCTTCCAGGAGTTTGTGGCCATTACTCCTAGTTTTCTCCTCAAGTGCTCTGGTGAACAGTTGTTCACCAAGCCCTTGATGTACTCCTCTAGTGTAGCGGTAAGCTGCTACCAGGTCCCCTCTCAGCCTTCTTTTTTTCAGGTTGAAGAGTCCCAGATCCCCCAGCCTTTCCTCGTATGGCTTGCCTTTTAAGACTCTGATCATATGGCTGGCTCTTCTTTGAACTCTCTCAAGCTTGTCCACATCCTTGTTAAAGTGCAGTGCCCAGAACTGGACACAGTACTCCAGCTGCGGTCTCACCACTGCTGAGTAGAGCAGAAGAAGTTTTGCTGGAGATGCATTGCTTTATGCATGTCAGAGTATTATTTGCCCTACTGGCTACAGCATCGCACTGCCAGCTCTTATTCCAACTGTAGTCTATTATTACCCCCAGCTCCCTTTCATTCACAGTGGTAGTCAGTTTGGTGCCCTCCAGCCTGTAGGTGCATTGAGGGTTGCTCGTCCCAAGGTGGAGCACTTCACATTTCTCGACACTGAACTTCATAAAATTCTGATCTGCCCAGCTTGCCAGCCTGTCTAGGTTCACCTGTAACTGTAGCCTATCTTCAAGCGTGACCACGCTTCCCTATAACTTGGTGTTGTCCATGAATGTGGCCAGTGAGCTCTTCATCCCCACATCCAAATTGTTAAGAAAGATATTGAAAAGAACTGGACTGAGCATCGACCCCTGTGGGACACCGCTGTCTACTTCTCGCCAGGATGATGCAGATTTGTTCACTATGACTTGCTGGGTCCTATCCTGCAGCCAGACTCATCTGACTGTCTTGCAGTTAAGCCCACAATCCTCAAATTTTCTGGAGAGGATTTTGTGGGATACTAGATCAAAGGCCTTTTGGAAGTCAAGAATTACCTTTTGATATATTTTCCTTCCAAACTATAGTCCTTCCTTCATAAAACTGCAATTTCAGCAAAAATTTATCTGGCTCAACATCTTTCAGAGGGAAACCCCCCCCCCACATTTTCTTTGATTCTCTCTCTCCAAATTTATTGGATCTGATGCTGTAAAATGCAAAGCATTTCCCAGCAACTTTTATCTATCTATATTTTTATATTGTACTCAGTGCCAGTGATTGAACTCAATAGGAACTACGGTCATTTAGCACCTTGAAAGGTTTGGACCATAGTTTAGGAGAACACTAATCATCTGTATAACTCAATCCTTTCTTAACATGACCCTATAAGGCTAAATAAGACTATAATGGAACTTAAGCATTAAACTACATTAAAAATATAGCATATAGTCTTGAATAGGGATGTATTCCTGCTTAGGTGGTTAGTCTATTAGGCCCAGATCTACAAAAGGATTTTGGTACAGTGATGTTCAGTGCCACCAAGCCTTACTTTTAGATGCTACAGAATGGGATCACTACTCCCAGCAAGTTGAATGAGGAGATGCCTAAGTTAGCCATTAGGAAACGCTGAATAGAGGTTTATTTCTGATATCCTGTCTTTTCTTTTTCAGATCTAAATGCTTTCCTCAGGGTACACTTAGGCACCTATTTGAGACTCGAATTCAGAGTCTGAAAAAGCGTCCAGAAATTAGGTGCCTAAGCAATTCCTTGTCTATGGATCATTAGCTCCATCTTTTCTTTAAAACATATCCAGAGGAAAAGGTGGCAGTGCCCATCTTTTATATGATAACATTTAAGTAAACGAATTCAGAGGAAATAGGAGCCCAGGTTCAATGCCCTCCTCAGCATGAGAGGATTCAAACTACATCATCCATCTCCACTAAATAAATAACCCCTATTCACCAGGCTATTGTCAAGGCCATGACATTGAAGTTGGGATGCTGTATAGAGAGGAATACAAGATTTATAGGGACAGAGAAAAAGAATAATTAAGAGGGAGCATGAAGACAGCTGTGGTTTAGTAATGAGAGTGATAACCTGCATGGGAGGAGTCATGGTTTCAGTTCCTGCTCCAAACATTGTTTATGTACTTTATCCAATTTAATCCAAAATGCACAAGCAGGGCCTGGATCAGGGAGTGGAATCCAGGATTCCCTTGTCCAAGGCAGTGCCTTCATCAGTGGACTGCAAAGCCACATGCACCATTATCCTCTCTTTAAATCCATGAATCTTGCGTTCCATTCTGCAAAGTGGGCCAACTCTGCCACAAGCCTAGCTTGCAGTCTAGAGCCTCAACAACTCTCCTGGGAGGCAGAAGATGTAATTTTGAATCCTCTCAGGCTTTCAGGATGCAAAGGGCCTAGAACCTGCCTGCCCCCTATCCTGGGCCACCATCACTATCTATCCTATCACTTCCTGGGCCACCATCCTATCTATTAAACTATCACATAAAAGACGGGTGCCACCACTGCTGCCATCATTTTGAAAATGACTGTGGCTGCTGAGTTTTGTGTTGAACTCGGTGTTGTAACTGGGCTCAGAACATGCCTATCATGTCTGGCTCTGCAGGGGACTTAGACTCAGGGGTATTTAGTTTGTGAATCCGTAAAGACTTTCAGTAAGACAGATGCTGAGCCGTATAGTTGTGCCTCTCAGACCATGCACTAGCAGAACGTTAGATGAACAACAGCCTCTCAGGCACGTAAGTGGCTAGGCAGGGGTTTCGTGGATCATTCACTCAGACATGGGTGTCAGAATCTAGTCTAAGTTTCACCCAGGCACCTAAGTCCATTTTTTTTTTTGTTTGGATCTGACTCTTTGTTCTGAGACTGTTCTTAATTACACTAGTGTAAATCAAGAGTAACTACTGTGAAATCAGGAGAGATACACCAGTGTAAATCCAGTGAAACTGGGCTCAGAATCCAGCTCATGTCGTCCCCCCATGGAGCAGCGGTACTCTTTGTTCTAGGCATTCACTAGCATCTTGCTGTAGTGTGTGTGGATTACCAATGAATTGCTGGCCAAAACACTGCTGAGCTGCATTTCCATGTCGAACATCTTGTCTGCGGAAACGTCTGGGGAGAAAAAATGGAACTGTTTTAAGAAACATATTCAGCTGTCAACCTTATGCCAAAGCTCCATGCATTAAAAATGCAGGGAACTAAAATCTTGATCCCAAATCCTTGGCTAGCACTATTATGAGTAATGTGAAGAAAATTCATATGCTGTACTTTCCCACCCTTTTACTCAACCTGGAAGTAATGGAGAACCTGTGAATGCCTTAAGCACTGCAATGTCTGAAGGAAAAGACATTCAGTAGTAGTCAGATCAGTACGAGGGAAAGTTTCAAGTGTGGAGATGTGAATACACACACACACACACGACAGGCTCAGGGACTATACCCCCTGGCCACGTCCAGACAAGTTCAGCTGTGCAGTACATGGAGCCACAGACATGTTTGCAGTGCCACATACGGCACATTCATCTGTTCTCCACATTGCAAGGTAGAGGGGCAATGGGGAGGAAGCTTGACCCCAGGAGACCCAAAGCCTGGCTGGCCAGAGTCACACTCCTGCTGCTGGCCAGGCTCTGCTGCAGCCCAGGAGGCCTCCAGGACCCCAGGTAAAACTCCTGGGGCCAATTCAGTGCTGGCCCCAGCCTCCCCTACCCCATCCCACCTAGGGTAACCTGTTGCACATCAAAGGGCATGTGGCATAGGTGATCCCTGGGTACAAGCAGCAGCAGCAACTGTGCCACTGCTTCTTGTCCATGTGGAAACAAACGCCCACGCTTGCGTGGATGTGGCCCCTGTGCTTGAAGCTCCCTGGTGGTCGGACTTGCCTGCCCTCACTCCCCAGCTCTCTCACTTCTCTCTCTTACCTGGCATCACTTGATCTTAAGGTATTTAACTGAGAAGGCTGCCTCCAAAGTTTGGGATAGCCTCTTCCTTGGTGCCTTCCTTCTCTGCACAGTCCTCGGGGCACCTCTGCCCCAAACCGTAAGGGATGTTTTTCCCTTTTAAGATGTTGCTTATTGTGCCTTAAGGGCTATAACCATGACTCTCTTTCCTCCCCTGTAGCCATGTCCAGGCCTTGCAGGTATCTCTGTTGTAACTTAGGAGAAGCAATGGGCCTCTCAGGCTCCCAAACTCTTGTCTAGGCTTCAGGCTTCCCAGCTTTGGCTCTTTTCTTGGGGCTGAGCCCCCCCCAGCTCTGGGCTCCTGGGATCCCTGGCCTTGCCAAGGTGGCTCTTGCATTCTACGCCAGCTTCTCTGCAGTCACCAACTCAGGCAAGGCTGCTCAGGCTCTGCACTACCCTGTGGTCCCTGACCCTTACAGCACTTTATTCTAGATGTCCCCCTCAGGCACCCATGTGGCCTCAACACCTACCCCATATCCACAACCGGGTCCCCTAGTGTTTAAACCTAAATGCAGAAAAAATAACTGGAAAGCAAAGTGTTAGCCCTCCAGTTGCAACTCATCCTACAACCCCTCAGGGCCACAGTTTCCACATTCTTCCTATAAGGATCTGACTTGATCCCCAGCTCACAGGGCACCTCCTTTTCCCTGACAGCCTGCTCTGCCTTCAGCTCCTTTCCCTGCAGCCTGCAAGAATAGACTGCCAGCCCAGCCCAGCGGCTGGGTTTATATACAGCCAAGCTTTGCCCCTTCCGATCAACTGATTGCTGCCTTTGAAAAGGGGCCCATGGGTTTCTGTTCAGCCTAACATGCTGTTTGATCTCCCCTGCCCTGCAGTCCTCTCTGGTTACTTAGCAGTCCCAAGCCTCAAGGCTGGGGTCCCTGCTCCTGATGGGTTTTTTCCTGGCTGCTTATTCAAAATGCAGGTGGCTTCAATTCAGCTATCTCTTGCTGACTGTTTTAGCCTGCTGCTTTCTCCTCTTAAAGTAACAGGATCCCCTGGCTCCATGTTACATGAAGCCTGATGCTCTGGATGACTGAGCTACATTCAGTATAACTTCAGATGAAAGAGTTAAAGGTTGCTTTAAGTTCTCTTTCTGTTCCCTCAAAGGCTAGCATCCTTAGTCAAAAGTTAGAGTGGCAAGAAGGTCCCACAGAGGTTGAGATATAAGCTGGTGTAGCTAATTCCCAGCAACACCTGAAGACTCCTGTACGTGGATATTCCAACAGACTCAGGGAGATGGTAGGCATAGTCCCCTGGGAGGCATATATAAGGGGAAAAGCAACGTAGGAGAACTGGTCGAACCTTAAAGGGCACATCTACATGAAATATTAAATGAGCAATAGACATTGTACTACAAGAGATGCTAAATACACAGTAGACATGTATCCATGCTAATGCACAGTAGAATTAGTCTACTACGAATTAGCATCGCTAAAAGACCATGTGCCAGTGCTACTGTGCAGTAGTGTCAATTAGGGATGTGTGAAGCTGTGGTCACCTATTCGATTTGGAGGAGATTCGGCCTGATTTGGTGACTGAATCTCCAAATCTGAATTGAATCAGGAGACCCTTTAATGTCTCCAAATTGAATCGGAAGCCTCCAATTCAATTTGGAGAGATTCAGCGTGTTTCAACAATTCAGACATAGACATAGCTTTATATGTTTTTTCTACATACCTCAAGGTACCAGGCAGCTCATGAACGCTGAGATGGTGGGGTGGGTGAAGTGTCCCACAGGAGCGTGGGGGATTCCCAGCAAGCTCAGCAGCAGACAGTTGCCTGGGCCAGGGGGGCACCTGGGGTCCCTCCCCGCAGCCGATTGCAGAGTTGGGGGGACACTGGGGTGGTCCCCCACATGCTCAGCAGTGGACCCAGAAGTGGACCGGAAGTACTTCACAGAGCACAGTCCCACGTGCTCCCATGGCTGCTCCACCCGCCCCACCACCTCAGCATTCACAAGCTGCGCCTGGTATACATATAAAGCTGTATCTAGAGCTGAATCACTGATTCTCTGAATCAGAATCGAATCTTCAGATTTGGATTCAGCCAAATCGAATCAGGACAGTGATCCAAATCAGTGAATTGAATCACTGTCCCCCAAATGGGGCTGAATCTGAATCGAGTACAGCCTACTTTGCACACTTCTAGTGTCGATTACTGTGCATCGAGTTAATACCTGTTATTACAGGCACTAAACTTAACGCGCAGTAACAATGGTCCATTAATGCATGTGCAGACATGCCCAAAGAGACCATAAAAAGAGCATACTATCTTGATAGAAAGGATGGACAGGAAGAGCAGTCAGAGACTGGCCTGGCTAAATATAGCGAGCTCTTCAATGAGTTGAAACTCAAAAACGAATCTTACAAACAGTGGATATTTGACAATACTGCTAGGGATGAATATAGGAGTGTAGCATGTGCCAAAACAGGGGCAGAACAAGAAGTTAGCAGTCTTAACCTGGAAAAAAAGAAACTTACATTGGCTATTAGGAAGAAATGTCTAACTATGAGAGTGGTTAAGAACTGGAACAGATTACCTAGAGAGGTTGTAAAATGTCTATCCTTGGAAGGTTTTAAGAGCAGGCTAGACAGACACGTGGCTTGAATGGTTTAGACAGAGATGTTCCTGCCTGGATGATCTTCTGATGTCCCTTCTGGCCTTACTTTTCACTATATATTAATGACCCAGCTTCTCAGAAAAAGCTGCTGCAAGTCTTTCACAGTTTATAATGTGTATGAGAGGATTATTGTTATTATTATTATGATTAGTAATAGTAATAGTAGTAGTAGTAGTAATAGTTAACCTAAAACTCCACTCATTTGAACATTTCAAAGGATAGAACCCTCCTGTGTGGTGGGCATTATCACTTTTATTTGCAAGACCAAGGAAACTGAGGTACAGCAAAAACAATAGTGAGTCAAACATATGCTGAATCAATGGCAGAACTGCAACTACAATCCAGGAGTCCAACCATTGAACTCCAGGGCTATGTCCAGATGTGCAGGGGCATGTGCTTGAAGTGGCACAAATAGTAGCAGCACAAATCTGTGCCACAGTGCACACTCCTGCACATGCACTTTGGTGAGGGACAAATTGTCCCACTTCAGGTCAACTGCCCTTTCTCTGCTTCTCCTGGCTCTTGGCGTGATGGAGCAACCTGGGGCACAAATGAAATAGTAGAGATACTCTGGCCAGCAGCCAGAGCTTCTCCCTGGAGAACGGAGTCTCCGTTTGTTCTGGTACACACTACAGTAGCATGCACCGCATTGCGTGTTTTTGCTGCCAGAAAATCCTGGTAGCATATTTTGCCCCCACGCTGCAAATTTGCAGTGTGGGGCACATTTTCACATTCCAGGTGTGTGGTTTGTTATTCCACAAAGAGGTTTTCAGTGCCATACGCTACATGTGCCTTCATATCTAGACTTGGCCCAAGAGTCCAACCCTCTCACTTCTTGAGGAGACAGTTTTAAAAAAATAAATCAATATAAAATGCAAATACAGTTCTAGACTGAATGCAAAGTAGCATAAGGCTTTTATTGTGGACACTTTACTCTCTGGCCATTATGATAAACAAAATTAAGATAAACTGCTATGGAAAAGAAAGCACTGCCTTGTCAGATGCAGTATTTTCAGCATTATGAAACCTACACTTATGACTCTGGATAACATTCCTGTTTTTGTATATTTATTCAACTATGACTTTTACACAGGCAAGTCTGAATGCCTGATTAAAAGGGAAGTGTGGCAAACCTCCTAAAGCACAGAATTAATGTACTTATGTGTGCTCAGTACATGCAGTATGGTAGAAATTAAGAAAGCCTAATGATGTTGTTGTAGTACTTTATATTATTTGAATGACAGTGAAGTCAATCCTTCCCCCTACTTGGACACAGAGGACCAAGTCTTCATTCGGTGTAATAGCTCCACTGATTCAGCAGAACCACACTGACTGACACCAGCTGAAGATCCTCGCCCAATATTCTTGTTATTGCATTTGAAAAGTGGGAAGGCCTCACAGCAGGTAGTTTTGTGATAATGGAATCTGTCATTCACTCCTGTCAATCAGCCTGGCGGAGCCATTTTACCAGTGCAAGTCTTGAAGTAAGTACAAAGTATATGCAGGGAAAAATCAGACTCTGGACTCTTGTTT